TTCTGTAGTTGATTCTTTACTTCAGATGCTTTGAATTCTGAGAATTCTTTTTTTATTTCAGAAAGTTTCGCTCTGAGTTCCTCTATAACTTTCTGCTATTGCTTATTTACTATGAACGCTATTAATTCATACATTTGAGCTGAGCTAGTAGAAAAGAATTCCACTCTGAGTTCCTCTATGACTTTCTGCTGTTGCTTATTTACTATCGACGCTATTAATTCATACATTTGAGCTGAGCTAGTAGAAAAGAATTCCACTCTGAGTTCCTCTATGACTTTCTGCTGTTGCTTACTTACTATTGGCGCTATTAATTCATACATTTGAGCTGAGCTAGTGTCCTCTGCACTTTTTCTGGGTGGGCATTGGGTTTCCTCCATATGTTTCTGCATTTGATTCTTATTGCAGATGTTATTAATTCAGGGATATCTTTTTTCATTTCCAATGAGTTCCTCTATATCTTTCTGCAGCTGTTTATTTCAGAAGCCATTGATTCATTGCTTTCAGCTGTGTGATTCCCAATTTGTTCTGTGTTAGTGTCCTCTGCAATTATTATGGGTGGGCTTGGGGTCTGAGATTGCATTTTGCTCCTTCTCGTTGTCATTTTGTGTAGCGCTGTCTTCTGACCTTCGTTGTAGAGGTTCGGTGCAGTTATAATCTTAGCACTTACTGAAGTTCAGGTGCAGATCTACAAAGTTTGGATTTATCCAGTTGTGCCTGACTTGGGTCTGGCTGCTGTGCTCAGCTATTTCCTGCTGCTGCTCTTGGGGTTGAACCTGTTGTGTCCCTCTGGCAAGATATTCTGCTCCTGGACTACCTGGGCGGTTCTGTTCCCTACACTCTCTGCAGGCATTGCAGCTGCAAGGCTTCACCCCAGGCCTGTATGCCTGGCCTGAGCTGAGCCTGAAGTGGAGAAGGTGGAGTAGGGGGAGAGGCAGCTCTTCACACACTCACTGGGGCTTGGGCTAGGACTGGATCTGGGGGTTCCCGGAACACGACAGAAATTCCTACTCGGTGGGGGGGGGGTAGTATGGAGTGGTGGGGGGTGTCCCAAGGGGTGAAAAATGGTGTCACCCACACTGGGCCTGGGGTGGGACTGGTAGGTCCCAGTGGCACAGGGTAGCCAGAAGCTCTGCCACAGTCACCGGGCCTGGGTTAAGACTGAATCTGGGGGTTCCTGTAATGCAGCAGAAATTCCTACTTGGCGGGCAGGGTGGTGGAGGTGCTGCAGAGTGGTGGGTGGCGTCCCAAGGGGATGGAAGAGGGTCTCACCCATGCAGCGCCTGGGGTGAGACTGGTAGGTTCTGCTTGCACAGGGTAGCCAGAAGCTCTTCCACACACTCATGGGGCCTGGGATAGGACTGGGTCTAGGAAACCAGTTTTGACCCTGGAATGATTCCCCCCTCCCTGGAATTTCAAGGCCCCAGATGTTAAGACTTAAAACCACACTGTCGGTATAGTATTGATGTATTAATGGAGCTGGCTTCTCTGAGCTCTGCTGGCATCTCCACCATGACCCGTGAGATCACGACTGAGAAGTTCTGCTGAAGCGGAGTTCTAGCTGAGCTCTGCTGGGACCATGTAAGTTTATTCTCTAAGTCTTGGCACTCACTCACTCACACCCCAATTTCTGTCCTGGGCAGAAACACTGGCAAGTTTTTCAACGTGTATGGAAAAAGTAGGTTTATAATTTGGTAAGTGAAAGACACTGAACATTATTTTAATTAATTATTTTTAAGGGAAGGGTCTATAGGGTGTTTAGGGTCTCACCCTAAGTGTTCCCCAAAACCTGTGGTCCCATCCATGAATGGACCCGCAGCCTGGACCCCAGGGAGTGTGACTGTCACCTCCTGACAGGTAGGGACCGGGCTGGGACACTGCTGTGAGATTCCCCAGATTGTTGTCAGCTGGGGTGAGTGGGTGTAGGGAAGCAGGCACAGCAAGACCGTCTGCAGACTTGGGGCTGCTCCTTGTCCTTTCTGTTTGCATTATATTGAGTAAAATCCGAACCAGAGCCCTGTCCCATCCCATACTGCCATCTCCTGGTGGGAGGTGGGGGCCCTGGACAGCAAGCACAGGCGGCCTCATCCTGTGTGCAAAGCCCAGAGCACTGCAGCCGCAGCCTGGGCACGTGGGGGAGCCAGGTACAGTTCCTTCAGGTCGCTTTGTAAAGGTTACGGAGACTTCATGATGCTCAGGTAATTGAGATCTCCTGTATTCAAGAAAAACTGGTTTGCCTAGGGTCTAGCTGCTTCCCTAAAGATTCATTTGTTAGGTGGCATTTAGGAGACTACTGGTCGTGGAGACTGGATGACTAAAGGGTACAGTGAGCAGGACAGCTGGAGAGAACTTGCTTTTGATGTCCTGTTCTACAGGGTAACCATGGACAAGGGTTAACTAAATGTTTTCAAACAGCTAGAAGAGGAGCTGGGTGAGGTGGCACGTCTGCAAACCCAACTACTTGGGAAACCGAGGCAAGAGGATCACAAGCTGGAGCCAATTAGGAAAACCATATATCAAAATCAGAAAGTTTTTTTGGGGGCCGGCTCAGGATGCCTTAATGGCAAGTCTGGTAAGGGATGAGGATTTGGGTATCGAACCACAGAATCCTGAGCCTGACTGCTTTGCTTAAGCAGGCACTTAAACAACTGAGCTAGGGGCTGGGAAGATGGCTCAGTAGGATAAGCGCTTGACTGGCAAATGTAAGGATCTGAGTTCAATCCCCGGTTCCACAAAAAAAAAAAAAAAAAAAAAAAAAACTGAGCTAATGGGCAGGCGCCCCCCTGTATCAAAATCAAATACTGCAAGAAGAGTCTGCATAACCGGAGTGGGAAAATGCAGATTAAAGACCTCAAGAGTGAACTAAGTGTGAGACATTTTTCTGTAGTTAAAAGACAACTGCACAGACCCAGCTCCACATGGAGAAAGTTTCAAGGGATAGAACAGAGTCCTGCGCTCAAACACAGCCCAAACCCACTCGCTCCCAACTTTCCACATTAAACACACCGGTCTGAGGAAACTAAGGATGATGTTTGCTAGCATTTTGTAACATGTGAGAAAGCAACTGAGTGAGGACCTGAGCACTAGACTGGCACAACAGAATTTTCAAGAGGGCTGCAACACTGTACTGCAATCAGTGAATTCTACCCATTACCCTGGCTGAGAAAGTTCCACGTGCACTCGCTTTGTTTCCTTCCCAGCCTGCTGGGCTCCTCCCGCCTGGAATTCCCACATTCCTCACTGTACCTTCCTTCCATTCAGTAGACCAAAGCAGGTCCCGTTTGGGTTCCACTTGAAGGAAACCAACCTCCTAGGGATGCCTAACTGGAGGGGTGGGTGGAGACTTATGTCACAACACAGGTAATTCTGGAAGAGGGGCAGGGGCTCTTGCTTCTAGTAGACAGAGAGCCCTAAACATGTGGCACACCTCACTTTTACTTACTTAGACACAGGAGCAAGCAATTAGGGTAGCAGATTCTTCTGCCTATTATCTATCATAAAAACCCAGGTAAACAACTGGATCTCAACTGTGTGGCCTCTTCCCTGGAATCTGCAACCTGTCAGTATGCCTGCGCACTGCCAGAGGAGCACAGCTTACTGCCTTTGTGTTCACAGAGGTCAGTTAGGCCCCATCCTATCTGTTCTCCAACAAAATAAAGCAAGGAGCTAGCAGTACAGGTAAGGGTAGGAGACCTGCCTAGTGTGCCAGATCTGGGTTCCATCTCCAGCACTGGGGGAAATACCCCTAGTAGAGAGGACTGTGAAGTTCCCAAGACAAAGAAACACTACTGATCTGCCAACTGCTCTAATCGGGGCACTAGGTACCCACCTGTTAAGATACCCCACACTTAAGTGCAATACCATGTCTGGATTAAAAACAAAGCACATTCAGTTTGAAGTCAGCCCACTGGGGCTCAAGAGATGGCTCAGTGGAATAAGCACTTGCCTCGCAAGCACAAGGGCCTGAGCTCAACCCCCAGTTCTGCAAAAAACAAAAACAAAAGTCAGTCCATGACAGGGTGGGGTCACTGCACACTGCATGCCTCTGGGCATCTCTGGGCTTCAGGCTTATAGGTGTCCCCATTTTCTCCATCTTCAGTGCCACCCTCCTACATAGGCCTGGCTGGCACTGGACATTTTCAGCAAATGTCCTCCCTGAGGTACTGTCCTCAGCACTCTTGTGTTCCCAGGAGCCAGCCTCTGCAGTCCCTACATACCCTGATGTCACAGCAGATTCTGTGTGGTGACACAGGCTGCCACTGAAACAGAGCCTTAGTTCTGACAAATCCTCTTCCTTTCACTCCTGTCTGCCATCTGCTGCCAGCCCAGTCCAGCAGAACTAGGAGGATGGACTTGAGTCCAAGGTCCCCAGGCTGGAGGATAGCACGCGAGAGCAGTGCACAAATTGCAACTGGGTTAACAGTGTCAGAGGGACACCCGGGAGCGCAGGTCCTCAGAGGAGAGCGTCATCCTCACAGGTGTTTCATGCTGCTGTGAACAAAATATGACTCACTCATTTCACTTTTTTATTAAAATATGCTTTTGCTTCTAAAGACAACAAAGAACACACTTTTCTACATTGTAAGTCATATAAAATACAGCAAACAAAGACACCGGGGTGCAGAATAGATTTTAACGGCCTCTGAAGCTTTTTCATAAAAAAACTTTAAAATGTGGCTTGTGTTGACCTAATTTTCCACTTTTGCTTCTTTTCTTTCAATGCCATTCTGATTTATAAATATTTTTTCAGTCAAACAATTTTTTGTTTTCTGAAGCTTTAGAGTCGAACTTCTACACAAAGAAACATACATTAGATTTTATTTGATCATTTGACTTGATGTGACAATTATGAACACAGGTGCAGCAATAGTGCTGTGAGGAAGGCAGCAGAGCACCCCGCTGGCAAGCATAGAAAAAAGGCTTTTCACATATGGCTTCTACAGCACCTACTGATTGGAAATCTAGTATTTTGGGGTCTGACTACAAGTAACAACCTAATTTTTTATTAAAAAGAAAAAGAAATTTTAAACAAAGCTTCAAGGCAGGAAGAATATACTGGAATGATGAAGGGTCCAAGTTACAGCCAGGCGACGGGCTTCTCAAGTGTGTCACTTTCACTTTGGAAAAAGACTTATTCAGGACCTTGAAAGCATTTCAGAACTGGAAATGGAAGCTTTTAGGTGAGCTCTGTCTTTCTCAACCGCTTGGTAAACTTGGAAAAATAAACAAGTTTAAATATGAAAGATCATCCCACTGGGGACAATTTCTAGCAGGAGAAAGCGTGTGGAAAAACCAGCTGAAGTGACATGGTTTAAGAAATTAACCACTGTGACATCTAATGAGTGGAAAGGGAATGCTGACTCTTTAATAATGATGATCTTAAAAATGATAAATGCAGTTAATATGTTTACTATCAGCATGAAGAAAACATTACCAATGTTGCTGTAAAACAAACACAAAAAAGAATTCCTCCATTCATAGGTATCAGATTAACCCGAAACCAGCAGGTTGAAATGATGCAGACTCCTTTAATATTTTCTCTCCTTGAGTTCTCTCCTAATGAAAAAGAGCTAGAATTTTAAGGCGCTTTAAACAGAGGCACTCTAGGTAAAGTATGAAAGGACACCCCAACATCTTCCCACTAAAATAACTTCCAGGAACTAAATCATAACTTCTTATAAGGCTAATGTACCTTGAATACTCATTGGAGTTATCTGAAAGAAAATAGGTATCAGGTTTTATATTTTATAATAATTAATCATACTATGTCAAATGATCTAACTAGAGCTCAAATAATAGTATAAAACATATGCCAGAACATTATCTATTTTATATACTCAAATATGTAGACATACAAAGGAGTGTTCCTAAAAAGTTGTCATTCAAAAAGCACTAGAGTAATCAGCAATTTTGTGAGGTTACTGTCATATAAATATTATCTTGACTGCAGCTAGATGATTGGGACATAGAGTGCAGGAGACTCTTTGTGCCAGACACAACCAGCAGAGAGGACAAGGTGGTTCTGTGTGCATTTGGAGTAGACACCATCCTCAACAGGTTTTTGAGTTTCAGAAACTTTTTGAGTTTCAGAATCTTAAATTCCTACAACACAATGACACTTGTTTAATGAGAACGTTAGATTCAGATATAAGCTCAACAAATGAAAGATAAAATAACAACAGCAAGCACAAAGAGTTTGTCTTCCGTCTGGCTCCCAGATTTTTGCCCTGCCCTGTCCCTCTCCATGGACACCCCCCACGCCTCTGCTGAGACCCAGGCTGCCTGGCTGGCCAAGCAGATTCCCTGACACCCATATGGCGCTATGACATGGCAGGGATCCTCAGCCCAGGGCGCTGCAGCTGCCAGGGAGACCCACGTGGTATATCTGAAGGCCCTGGTAAAGGTGACTTTTCAGGCACCACCAGCACTTTGGGTGGGTGCAGAAGGAGGGGACATGTTCCTTACAGTGGCGACTGCCAGTGTCCTGTGGGAGAGAATCTCTGCTATGTGAGAGTTCTCAATGGTAACACCTGCTTTCTAAAGCTGACTGAAAGATTTCAAGAGTGGAGTGTCCATGGGGGCTCAGTGAGAGGTGTGTCCGAGTCCAGTCTGTAAAGCAGCGAAGGCCCCTAGCACAAGCAGAAGACTCCAGGACCTAGAGCTGAGTTGGCACAGGTCGTGACCACATCCCAGGCTCCTGCTAACCGTCTGTCAGCAACAAGTGTAGATGCTCGAAGAAGATGGCTTCAGGCTTGCTAGTGAGGCCTTGGATATTTTAAGGCTTTCTGCACATCTGTTTCCTGTCTGGCCAAACTGTGCACACACTCCAGCGAAGTAATGTATTGCTAGCAGGCAGGAAAGCCTGGAAGGTCGGGTATAATCATGAAATTTAGCATATTCCTGGGCATGTCATAGTTTAGAAGGAGCTCATTCCAAATTCTCTACCTCTCTGAAGCGCTCTGGTGCTGAGTAATTTTTCCCACTTCTCTGTGACTACACCACTTTGGCTGAATTTCTTTATCCTCTAGAACATGCAGTTCATGCACTTGACGGTCTTGCTGCCATAGTCGATGCACTCAGGGCCAATGCACTCGCAGCAGGCATTGTGGAACCAGCGGTATTTGGAGGCGCCCATGGACTCACAGGAGATCTTACACTGGTGGATGGACATGCAGTCATCGAAGTAAACCACCGTGCACATGTGCTCTGCAAGACAGACATGGCCACTGCAGGGCGAGGAAGGACAAACCGGAACTGCTCCCTTACCCTGCTCAGCAGGAGGAAGCTGCTCATCCTGGCAATGCAGGATGAAGAGGAGGGAGAGTGAGAGGGATCCACCTTCGTGTTTCTGTACAAGATCTCTCACTCTGGAGGACAAAGCAAATCACCTGCAGCTCAGAGCTGGGGAGGAACGTGGGGCCTTGTGCGTGACAGGTCAGGGGTGCTACTGCTCGCCACCCCAAGCCCTGAGCACTGCTGATGAGATTTCCTATGGTGAGATAATTCTCCAGCCAAAGGAAGTCTGAAGGGTTCGATTCTCAGCTTATGTGGAAAACTGATAGCAAAATCATCCAGACTCAAATAATCTCAATAAAGTACAGTGACTAGCAATGCTGGGTGCAGGTGTGGGTCATCAGGAAATATTCCCATCACTAGTGACAATTTCTAGTCCTCCTTTCCAACAAGACAATCGCTGCTGGTTTTTAAATCTGGTGGTTAGCCCTATTAAGACTTCCTAGCTAGGAGCATAAGGTACATGAAATAAATCAAGGACAAAAAACCCCATGAAATAGAGTGTATGCTCCAAGGTAAAGTTATTTTCACAGAGCCATTTAGAAGTGTGAAAGCACCGTGGGCCTGAATAGTGAGGAAGACTTCACAGGAGGAGGAGTGAAGGCCGAGGCCCAGCATCAGATGAGCAAACACCAGAGCAGGGGTGTGAGTGTGCAGGGCAGGGACCGAGATGAATCAGACAGCGGTGGGGCTATGGGGCACCACAGGATCACTGGAGGACCACAGATGGGGCCTTGTCAGAAAGGAAAACTGACAAGGGCTGTGACACTAGACTGAGGTATAGAGGGACTATCAGTGAGCAGGAAATTGACACCTCCAAAGCCTGAACATCCACTGATTCACGATGTGGGTATAGGACATTGCCAGAAGGCCTGGGAGGTTCCTCAGAGTAATCAACCTCAAGCTGAAAGTGCCAGTGTGGGCTGGGCGCGTCTGCAAGGACAGCTTCCAGCCAGGGTCCAGCTTCCTGCTAGTACCTTTGGGAGCCCCATGATCTCCTGGGAGGCTGAAGGATCACAGATATGGATGGTGTTGCTTATTCACGTTTATTTATTCATTTTTTAATGTATTTGGTACAGGGTCTCACTATGCAGCTGGGACTGGTAGTGATCCTCCTGTTTTCAGCCTCCCTAGCACTGGGATTATAGATGTGTGCCACCATGCCCAGTCTTGGTGGCCAGCTCAGCACACCCATGGATAGGGCCAGCATGACATGTGGTGCCAGAGATTGAACCCTGGTCCCTGAGCGTGCCTAAGCAGGTACTTAGTCTGCTGAGCTATCTCGCAGGCCCTGTTATTCACATTTTAATAATGGGACAATGGGACAAAACATCTTAGTACTACATCCCATATAGAACTTATTTTATAAAACATCTTAATCTAAAAGGAAACAAGAATTCTTATTCTCATATAACAAATGCTGTTTTGCTTTTATTATTCATGTTCTAAGTTCTATTTTATGTAGGTAGGATTATAATGGAGACTATAATAAATAACCAACCAAAGAGAGTATAAATTGTAGCATTTATACCTAATTCACTTCATGTTATGAAATAACTGACCTTTTCATAATTTTCTTATTCTACAGTAAAACTGTGTGGTGCCTTTCAATGCAAGTTTTCAGGCTTTATAGACCGCCCTTGTCCTCCCTCACTAGTGAATGTTCTTTAAGATGCTGCTGGTATTCTGAAGTCTCTCGACCATGTTAGCTCTCCTAGGCCCACCATACTTTCACAGAGGACTGGCCCAGCTCGGGGTCTGCAGCCTCTCCCTGCTCACACAGAACTTGGCTGGCAGCCCAGGACAGCCTGGCTCTGCAGGCACCTGACACAAACCAACAGCATGCAGCCAGGCGGCACTGGTGCCATTTTATGAGGAAAGGGAAGGCTGGTGCAGGCCAACACTGGGGGTTGACACGGTTGCCCACATACCTTCTCATCCAGTCTGGGATCCCAGGCTGAGGCTGCCCTGAAGACACTTAGTCCAGGTTTCCTGGACCACAGGAACAGAAGGGAGGGGCAAAGAGGAAGGTTACCTTTGTCACTGGAGTAAGGTGTGTGAACATTGTTGCTGGGGACAGACACGTTTTGGTGGTGGGGCTGATTCACAGTTTCCAGGAAAGAAACCAGGTTCTCATGGTGGGAAAGCTCCTCTGCAACAGGGAAGGACACAATGTTCCAGTTGAGCTGTGTGTCCCCCTCGGTGAGCGCCCGGAATAGAGAGGGTATGGGCTCATGAAGCTCCTCCACGGTGCTCTTAGAGGTGGGCGGGGTGTCGCTGTAGTTTCGAGGGTTGCACATCCCTGGAGAAGGCAGAAGCAGAGCTGACACTGAGGGCTTCCTTGGCTCCTGCCGTGTACCCTACGTGCCAGCAAAGTAAAGCTGTATGGATCCTCACATTGTGTGCTGGTGCTTCCCAGTGTCTACTGAAGGGGCCTAGCAGGTACAGTGCCATCCCCCAGAGGCTTGGAGCACACCAGGGACCAGACCCTGGGGAAGGACAGGTCCAGCGGGCAGGCTGGTGTAAAGCTGGCTGGGGACACATCTGAGTTGGGGGAGAAGTAAAGAAAAGATGGGAAGGATCTGGGGGCCGCCTACCCACCCTGCCCACAGCTCAACATAAAAGTGGTGATAACAGGATTATTGTTCTGAGCAAAAAGGACCTGAGAGTGGAGTGGGCTATGCAGAAATGAGCATGCAAATGCAGAGAAGGCTTAGCGTTTCCACAGCCACTGATAAAGGCTGAAGGAGAAAAGGAGTTGGAAAATGACCCATGGACAAGGCAGAGGGGTGAGCACAGAGTCACCAAGGACAGAACACAGGCTGGGTAGGGCAGCCCAGGCCCTATTCCTGGGCTCCCACTGACCTGACCCTGTCTTTGGGTTAGGGCTCAGAGCAACAGGAACTACAACAGAGCCTCTGGGTTCCCTGCATGAACTCCATCTTTTTAAACTTTAGTCTGGGTGGGGGTAGCCCTCCCCTGTAATCCCAGCACTCCAGAGGCTGAGGCAGGACGATCACTGTGAGTTTGAGGCCAGGCTGGGCTGCACAGGGAGACCCTGTTTCAAACCAATCCCTAAAAAAATTTAAATTATTTCATTTTTGTTTGCTATCTACTAGATCTAAAATGTTACATTTTTTTGTCAAATTAAGGGTTTGAAAAGTTAAGCCAAATTTATAAGTTCCTAAGTACAAATTCAGGGAGGAGAAATGGGCCCAGATCAATTAAACGATGTGTATAATCCAGGCTAGAGCCAAGATCAAGCTGAACCTGTGCTCCTGTCTGCTGTACTTCCTGGGGACTCCACTCCGTAAGAGCCCTTAGGTGGCACAGAAAAGCAAATACTGCTTGGGACCCTTCTGTTACACAAGTGCACATGCTGTCTTCTGCCCGAATGCACGAGGAGCACGAGTGAAAACATGTAGCCAGGTGAGACCATAGCCAGATCTGGAGCTTAGAAGGGCAACATAGATAGCGAGGCCCAAGCCACGTCAGTGCTCTGCACAGAGCTGATTACACCAAAATATTTGAAGTTTTGTGCATTTAGAAAACAGGACAAAAATGTTTATAGTTTAAATTATGAAAAACTGGTATGGATAATTACTTCTGGCAACCAGCATCAGCTCCTAGCTGAACAGTAACAGGCCTTGGGGTACACATGAAAGCTCTGGTGCTCTGATAGGATTCCAGGGTCACTGCCATCCTCACCCCATCTCCTCACAAGGAGCTGAGTGACGTGTGACACGTGACCAGCCAGGGAACAAAGTCACAGATACAAGTGAGCGCGGTCACGTCACTTTCTGGCCTGTTTCCTCATGTGCACTATGAGGGACAGCGACATGCTCAGGCTCCAGAGTTAGTTGTGAGAACCAAATGAAAGGAGCATAAGAGTGCTGCATAAGGATTATGTCATGGTTTGTGTCTAGTTGTCCCCCCAAAGCCTCATGTAAGTTATGGAGCAGACGTGGCTGGGGGAGCAATGAGTGGATTGAGGAGTGGGGCCAGAGGACCAGGGTGGGCCTGAGGGGCGGGGCCAGAGAGGTTCGAACTGCTAAACTGGCCAGCCTGTGCTTTCTGAGAGATGTGGAGAGGGTCATCCTGGACAGGGCAGCACCCCAACCTCTCCTCCAGTGTCTTGAAACCTCCAGTAACTGTGAGCTAAATAGATCTTTCCTTCCCTCATTTTGAGTGTCGGTATTTATCCCAGCAACCAGAGAAGAGTAACTAATACAGGGCGGCTTCTGGAATTTGTGACTGATTCATGATCCAAGGCTGGAATTATAAATCTGAGTACTGCTGGGATTATGGGTGTAAGTGATTCACCCAGCCTGGGGCAGATAGCCTGAAGGCAACATAAGAAAGAAAGAGACTTGCTCTCTCTTGCCACTGTTGTTGCTACTACTCCCTTGTGTTCTCTGTTCCTTGCCACCACCATGAACTGCTGCCCCCTGCCATATGCCACTCTTCTCTTGGAGCCAGCTGAGTATGGACTGAAACCTCCAGTAACTGTGAGCTAAATAAACCTTTCCTTCCTTCGAGTGTCAGATATTTGTCCCAGCAACAACAGAAGAGTAACAGACAGATTAGCAATTATTCTTCACTTTTTGCCATATTATTGTTTTGTTTTGTACTGAGCTACACCCCCAGCCCTTTTTAAGAACTATTTTTTTAATTTTTTTTTAAAAATTTTTTATTTATGTGTGTGTGTGTGTGTGACCAGCTCAGCCTACCAGGGGGTGGGGCTGGCTGGCATGTGGTGCTGGGGGATTGAACCGTGGTCCCTGTGCTTTGCTAAGCTTGTTCTAAGTAGGTGCTTTAGACCACTGAGCCATCTCACCAGCCCCAGAACTGTTTTATTTTTGAGACAGGGTCTAATTTGTGTAGACTGGGCTCAGTGTCACTTAATAAATTACTATACATCAAATCAGTGACACTATTTTATGAACCCGATTATTAATGTTGTCTTCACTAAAGTACTGATACAACCACATGGGAAAGTAAAAGATGGGAAAACAAAACCCTTGTAACAGGGAGTTAGCTGATGCTTTCCAGGAGGACAAGAGAGGCGAGTCGTCTTGGGGCTACATGGCTGCAACATACACATGTGTACTCGGCTCATGCAGTAAAGCGAAAACTAAGGTGGAAAGATGAACCTGGCCCATCTCTGCTCTGGGGGGACCCAGTTGTGGTTGTGTCTAGATGTCCCCCAAAGCCTCACATGGTCATAGGCAGAGCTTTTGCAGGAGTGGCTTGATCTAGATTGTGTGACTGATTCGTAGTAAAATGCTAGGATGAAGGGTGAGCAATTACTACATTAGTCCACTGACTGATCTGACAGCACTCTACCCCAGTAGCCTGGGTACAATACATGGGACAGAATGTGTCTTCCTTGCTTGGCTACCTTCTGCCCATGGGGAACTGTTTCCCCTCTGTAATGCCACTCTGCTATGGAGTCAGCCGATTATGGACTGAAACCTCTACGAACTGTGAGCTAAATAAACCTTTTCCCCTTTAACTTTGGGTGTTAGATATTTTGTCTCAGCAGTAAGAGAAATATGACCAAGACATTCTCACTCAGGAGCCGTGCACAGAGATCCCACACGTGTGCGCAGGGCTCCACCAACTTAGTCTGGCTGGAATGTTTCGCAGAAAGCAGATCCCACCCTGGCCTCCAGGGGAGAAGGCTGACTGCTGTGGGGATAGGGCTCCCCTGAACAAGCTGCATGTAGACCTCTCTCTTAACAACACAGGCAGCAGCGTTCTGCTGACACACTAGTGCACCTGGCCTTTTTATTAATGCAGAAGTTTCTCAGATGCTTCTCATAAAGCACACATATTAGCAAATAGAAACAGGATTCATAAAAAATGCAAATGTAAGATTCTGAAATAAAAAGTAACAAATTCTGCCTTTGCCTACTACCCCTTTGTCCACCCCAAGGAGAAGCACTTTAAATCTCCTTTCAGATCTCTTTCTATAAAAATGGAAATACGGCACAACACAATCAAGTGAAATCACATGGTGTTGTCTACATACTCTGTCTACACAGGTGACCACTTATCAAGGATCGGATCCTAGGAAACACAGAGACAAAGCTGGGTGTGGTGGCACATGCCTGCCTTCCCAGCACTCAGTAGGCTGAGGCAGGAGGATGGCAGTGAGTTCAAGGCCGGCCCGGGCCACACAGGTAGATGCCTCCCCACTCACCGACACAGTCGCAGCACTCATCCCACAGGGCGCCCAGGCACAGCATACACTCCTTGCAGCAAGAGCAGTTCCCCTCGCCAGGCCGACACTGACACAGCTCCTAGACACAAGAGGGATAGGTGTCAGAGCTGAGCTTCCGGGAAACCGCATCTCCACACTTGTAAGCGAAGCCCCATACTACTTGCATGTGTAATAGTTACTTCTGGTGCAATTTTGCATTGAATATTATTCACTAAAGGCCTAACTCCATGATGCAAAGCATATTTACTTTTTCTTCTGGACACATTTGGTGAACACATACTAGATGCTTTTACTTACTCGGAAAGGAAGACTTGGTGTTTTATAACCTTTAAACTTAAGCCTCCACATCCCTTCCACACAAAAATTCAGTATAAGACAAGACTCTGCCTTCTGGCTGTGGACTCACCAGGAGGAGCCAGCAGTAGGCAAGGCTGCCAAGGCTTCTCCAGGGCCAACCATGCTAAGGGGAGTGCTGCCTGGGCTGTACAAGGGAGGATCCCAGGGCATACTCATACACATGTACGTGTACACACACACACACACACACACACACACGCATACACACACACACACACGCATACACACACACATGCATGCACATGATCGCCTGTGACTTTCTTTGCTGGCAGGATGGAAGCAAGAGACTGCAGCAGCTCTGTGCCCAGGCCCTGAGTGTACCAACATTTTCCCCGGAACTCTGAGCAGCTGCCAGACACCCAGAACAGGGCCATGGGGCGGGTCAGGCCTGCTGAAGCACCCAGATCAGCAGCCTCCAAGTGGCCAGCAGCTGATGACCCATCCAGGAAGAGGGCCAGAGAGCCAAGTGCCCCACTGTCCCAGGCTCCAAACTGGCCTGCCCCACAGATACAGGGCCAACAGGGTGCCACTATTTGGGCCACCACACTGAGTGAGCCCCCCAAAGGGGGGAATGACAGGGTCACTGGACAGGCAGCAAGGCCAGTGCTGCAGCCCTGGACTTCCTGCCCTCAGGCAGACCCCTTCTCCTCCAAACATGAGCCAGTGGGGACTTTGTTAGCACAGGCTGGGGCACTGGGTTCTTCCTGGTTTAAGAGGCCCAGCATCTGCATAATAAAAACATGAGTATTTCAGTTTTGGTGGCAAAACAGGTCTCCCTCTTGGGCTTCTAAAGGACTGCACTGGGCCAGCCCAGTCTCCTTCCACCCACCACTCCAGCTCTTCTGGGCTGTTTTCTAGACCAGAGGACCCACCCAGTCTGGTTGAAGGGATTATCCCAGCACTCTGAAGGCTGAGGCAGGAGGATTGTTGTGAGTTTGAGACCAGCCTGGGCTACAAAGTGAGATGAGGCCCTGTCTCAAAAAAACAAAAAAACCCCAGCCCAATTAGGAGCTCCAGCAGGAGACAATGGCAAGTGGCAACTGAGGAGGCCACACATGGGCACAGGAAAGGACAGCGCACAGCTACTTGGCCCTCTGAAGGTACTAGCTCTGGGTCCAGTCCTCCGAAAGGCCTGGTTGTGACAACACCTGACAGACAGAGACATTCCTACCCCGTAAGATGGCCTCAGCAACAGGTGAGCCCATCTAGAGGCCCCTCTAGCTGAGCAAGCTGTGGTTAAAAACAAGCAATGCCTCTTAGTCCCGGCCTGTGCCTAACAGACCAGATTCTCTTGTGGCCTCTTCCTGGGACCTTCAAGGAGTTCTGCTCTTAGCTGACACTGTGGCCATCATAAATCAACCTCGTCATCATGACCTTCGTCCTCTGGGTACGAGGAGTGGGACAGAGCAGGCTCTCCCTAAGATTTTTTTATTTTTATTTTATTTTAATTTTTTTTTGCAGAACTGGGGATTGAACTCAGGCCCTTGTGCTTATTCTACTGAGCTATCTCCCCAGCCCCAGTTAAGACTTTAAATGCTTTTAAAAAGTGATTGATGCCATACAACCATTGCTTCTCCATGGCAATCCTGTGTTGGACATAATATTCGTCTCATACCCCTCTAGACTACTAAAGTCAGCCCATTACAGATTCTGGCTTGACATTTTTTGAAATACTGATTTCAATTCTTTGATTTTTCTCTCTTCAGAACTCTGGTTATCATACAGTAGCACTCTGAAGCATCACACTTGGGCTACTGTCTAGCTCGGCAGTTCAGTGTGTTTACCTGTCACCTAAGGTGCAGAAGTACACAGTGCCATGGGCTTCTGCACCTGCGGGCTGTGTTCCATGGCATACAGCTGCCAACTCTGCTAGGCTTGACAGAAAGCCTGAGGCAGGTATGCAGCTCAGCAGTGGAGGGTGGCACTGGGCTTGTGCCGCAGCCCTGAACAAATAAATAAAATAAAGAGAAGAGCCACAAGGGCAGGGCCTTACTGAGAAGTACGACTGCTTAGTCATAAACTCCAAACCTGGGGTGCTGCTGGGCATACAATACACACCCAACAAGCAAGAGCCCTAGTTTGCTGCCTAGCTCCACAGAGATAAAGCTGTGGCCGCGACTCACTGAATCTAGAAAATGGAGTTCCAGAGCTACATTGTGTAGCCTGCTTCTTCATGACAACCTGCCTGGTTTGGCTCTGCAGCAAGGGAACTTTTCTGAATACACTTTTTTTTTTTCTTTTTTTTTTTTTGGTGGTACTGGGGATTGAACTCAGGACCTTGCACTTGTCAGGCAGGTGCCTAAGATGCTGAGCTATATCCCCAGCCCTGAATGCACATTTTTAAAACCACCATCAGACTTAAGGATATCCATACTTTAAGTCTCTTAGTTTTGTTTGTTTATGCAGTACCAGGGATTGAACTGAAGACCTTGGATTGAACTCAGGATCTTGCGCTTGTTAGGCAAGCACTTATTCCACTGAGCTATCTCCCCAACCCCCTAGTCTTTTATAAAGGTTGCCACTCAGTCATAAGAAATTTGCTTAGTCACAAGAAATTTTAATTTACATCATACATATAAAAACCCTCTTCGTATAGTTGCTTTATTATTTATATTACTGAGAAACAAATTATAAAAGTAACAATTTAGTCAAAGAACACAATGTCCCTTTTTGCAGCTCCCACATGGTAGCTCACTGAATTATACTGTGTGTGATATTATACTTGAAAAAAAGGTTCACTTCTGGCCTCTGGTGTGGCTGCCACTGCCAGGTCTCTGGGGCTGTTCGACTTCGAAGAGGAGAGTGTGGTGCTGCAAGACCCTTACTAACCAGGGGGACATGAAAGCCAGTAGCCTCTTTTGTGGGTGACCCCTGCCACGTCGCAGGAATGCACAGCTGGGCCTCGTGACTTAGCGACACACAGTGTCAGCCATCAGCAGAGGCAGCAGGTGGCTTTGGGAGAAGCTTTGTCCATCCCTGTACTATTAAGCAAACAAAATCCAGTTAGTGTTCAGCTGCACCAGTTGTGGTGGAGCACTCCTGTGACCTCAGCACTCAGTTCAATACCCAAAAAAATCCTTCATTCATTAAAATAACTGCTAAGAGTGGTTGGATGCAAGCAGTAATACCTTAGCTAGTATTTTTCTTTCTACTTCACCAGAAAAAGAAAAGTATTAAAGAACCACTGTGTTAACAAAATTTAAACACATAAATTTTAGTAATTTGAGTAAACACACTGCCAAATGTGCCCAACACTCCAGTGCTTTGCAAATCACAGCAGTGATCTTTTCAGGAGACGAGGAGAGTGAGCGCCTCCACCCACCTCTTGGTCTTCACTGGGGCCCTTCCTAGTTTCAAAAACACACCTGGCATTTTCCTGGAGGAAAGTATTATGTTGGCAAGTTTAGTGGATCTCACTTAGAATCTCCAAAGTCTCACTGACGTGCTGGGTGTGGTGATGCATCCTGCCTGTGATCACACTTGGGAGGCTGAGGCAAGAGGATTGTCATGGGCTACATAAGCATCTAAGGCCAGCCTAAATGCAGTGAGACTCTGCCTCAAAAAAAAAAAAAAAAAAAAAAAAAAAAAAAAAAAAAAAGAGAGAGAGAAAATATACAGTAGCATTTGCTTCACTGACTGTTGTTTTGTTTTATGGAACCGGGGATTGAACTCAGGCCCATGAGCTTGCTGGGGAACACTGCTTATTCTACTGAGTCATCTCTCCGGCCCCACGATTGTTCTTAAGCAAAAAATAAAACCGAGAATTCTGCAAGAATCACTGTGAAAGGCAGCAAGGTGCAGCACACCGAAGGACTCACTCTGTTCCCTCTTTACCCCGCAGACTGCTGAACGACACTTGGCCGTGGATGTATTTGGGAGCCTATCTTGAATTAATTGTTTTGGCTGCAAGCAAACTGTGGTTAGTATGAATGTTCCTAAATATAAAAAGCACTTGCAAAGTGCTTTGAACTCAAGTACTGGAAATACAAAAGAGAAATAGCTCAGAATGTAACTGTGTTGAATCAAAGGTTATATAAAAATTACCCTACTTAAATCCACCAGACTCCTATTTAGGACACTTAAAATGAAAGCCTCACTTTTAGATGTTTCAGCAATGAGGAAATCAGAAAGCCTAGTCAAGAAGAAACAGGGCTGGCAAGATAGCTCAGTGAATTAAGCACCTGTTTTGGCAAGCTCAGAGGCCAGGGTTCGATCCCCAGTCCCCCATGCTGTGCCTGCCCTGCCCCCAGGCATGATGAGCTGGTGACCAAGTCTGGGTGTGGTGGTGCTCACCAAGTAATCCCAGCACTGGAGAGGCTGAACACAGGAGGATCACTACAAGTCTGAACTGCATAGTGAGATCCTATACCAAATACATAAAATGAAAGATAAAAAAGAAAAGAAATGCGGTGGCACATATCTGAATAGTCTGAGCTATTCAGGAGGCTGAGATAGGAGGATCATTTGCACTCATGAGTTCTGGAGTAGCCTGGGCAACAGTGTGAGGCACATACATCAAAAAATGTGTTTTGTTTTTTTTTGTTTTTGGTGGTACTGGGGATTGAACTCAGGACCTTGTGCTTGCCAGGCAAGTGCTTATTCTACTGAGCTATCTCCCCGGCCCAATTTTTTTTTTCCTTCGGTACCAGGGATTGAACTCAGGACACTGCACTTGCCAGGCAAGTGCTGATTCTAATGAGCTATCTTCCCGGCCCAAAAAAC